ACCGGGAAAGGTCCGTGCGACAGAATGGGCAGAGCGAGGACGTCTCGCGACATTTTGCCGAGCAGTCACCGCACACGTTGGTGAGGCAGCACGGGTACGGTGTGCGGACCAGCTGGGAGCGCGGCGACACGTCACTGAAAGCGTTCGAGCAGATGGCACCTGGACGACAAGAGAAAGAACGACAAAACGACAAACATGCATGTTTGTCCAGTGACCCACACAAGGCAGCTGTTTTCCTGCTTACATAGGTCGTGAGGGCCCGTGTGCGCATTGCAGTCGTCCATCAGGGGGGCTGGGAGGACAGGCGCGGCGCGTGTAGCAGACGGGCGAGTGGACGCTTGTTGCGTGACAGGCTGACGACCTGCAGCGTACACATCAAAGGACAACAGAGAGCTCGTAAGCTCAGGCATGACAGTACTTCCTCTGGACCTCCCGCGTACCAGCGGCACGATTTTCAGAGGCATTGGCACTGCTGCGCCACGACCACACGAACAGCAAGAACCCGAGACCGATGAATGATCCGCACGCGAGAGCGAAGGCTACAAACACGAGTGGTGCTATCATGATGACAACCAAGCAGAGGCCGAGATATGACGCGATGATTAGGCCCTTCCGCAGTGCCCAGCCCGATGGCCAAGACGAAGGGCCGAGAGGTGACCAGTTGATTATCACCATCAGGGCCAGCTATCACATGAACACACACCGCACAGTGTCATCTGCGTGTCGGTCAGAGGCAAGGGAAGCGTACAGACGCACCTGAATGGCCAGACGAGCAAATGCTCCCACGAGGTAGAACACGAGCAGCAGGAATGACATCACCATGCTAGAAGAGCGAGGTAGACTGAAGGCACAGACGCGGTTAGACGCAAGAGAGGTAGACTGAAGGCGCTAGACGCGGTAGTTGTGTTCCTCGGAAGACAGTGAGGAAGACAGACTGAAACATTGTTGCCCTAAAGCCTTGAATGGGGTAGGGTGTTGCATGAAACCGCTAATGGGGAGTGCCGAGATCGAAGA